TGCTTGATTTTGTCAGGTTTGGTACTGTTCAGTGCAAGTCATCCTATACTGCATAGACCCATCCATACCATATCACTCCAACTCCAATGGGCTCATTCTGTTGGAGTTGATCAGGTTTGGTACAGTGACCTGCATGTACAAGCACATAGACAAGTACGTGTACCTGGTGGAGTTTGTTGGGTTCAGTATGTTCCCTAGTGCAAGAGCCTAGGGCATAGAATTAAGCTACACCTGCTGAAATCAATTATCTGCTGACAGATTGATAAGTTGTGGACAGTACAAGCTAGCTACAATCATATCACAAGGGGATTGATGGACAAAATTTGTTTCCATGAAGTTTCAGATTGTGGCAGATTTGGAGTACTTCTCAGTAGCAACACCCAGGGAATTGGAGTTAGGGAATAGAACTTATGTAATTGTCTTCTAGCTTACCTTGATTAAATCCAACAGAAAACTCCAGACTGTACTCTCAGGAATGTCATGGTGAGTCTCGCTATACTCCTCCAAACTGGTACATTTAAACAATCAAAAGAGATTAAGATTGATTACGTGCATAGGGAATTCCCCTTGCACACAGTTCTTTCCACCAAGGAGTATTTGTCAATGCATCGCTGAAAAACTGTGACAAACGTTTGGAGTTGGAAATCGGTCATTACAAAGAATAACACACTGTAGCACTGTGCTGAAAAACTTGTTAATCACTCCAAAAACATTTCACAAAAACAATGACAAGGTGAAAAATTAAAGCTCTTTGTAGTTTGCAAATAAAAAAACGGAAGGGTAGCAGCGAAACTGAAAATGTGAAAAATGAGGTTTGAGAGGGGATTGGTGGATAAGTAGCCCAACACATCTTCATCTTCAGGAGTACAAAAAATATTTATTTGACAATGAAAGAAAGTTGTTCAAACAATTTCTGAGCTGTCAAAAGATAACACAGTTTCTGACTTTTACCTCATCTGGCAAAGTTCTGTTTGTATGTACAAGTGTCCTTTCTCTGCCCATGCTTTGAAGAACTCCACACAATTAGGATGTCGGCTCAGTGTCTCATGCTGATGAACTTCTTCAAGCTTTCTCCGTCTGTATATCAAGAAAACATCCACAAAACGTATGAGATAACTCCAATGGGCAGACACAGGAAAGACAAACATAAATTGAGTCATTGTACACAGATACCTAGATGTGACTTGCTCTATCCATCACAAAACAGGTGGCAGAACTACAATTGTCACTTAAGAGTGATGTTATTCACCAACATTTTGACTCATATTCTGTTTGTTCTGTACACCACACTAATCTACCACTTGTTCTTCAGACCAATAGACCTCGAGCTAGACCAAGAGAGGGCGCAAATTTCTTAGCAGTGGAGGCTCCCTTGGTTGAACTAAACTTTGCTGGTTCGCAAACGACTAAGAAATTATTATTATTATTATATATTTCTGGTAATGACACCAAGGATTCCCCAAAACCACCCTAGGCACTGTAGCTTGCAAGCCTGAAGAAACCTGTAGAGAGGAGATAATGAGAAGCAGTTACAGTTTTAGAGCTGGGAGGAATACCCCAGAGGAATATTCTGGGTAAAACCCACAGAATCAGGTAGGAACTGAAAACCCAATCCACGTGTGGACCGGGCTGGGATTCGAACCCGGGACCACAGAGGTGGAAGGCAAGGAAAGAACCACTACACCAACCTGCACACGCTACAGCCACATCACCACCAACAAAATGAACATTCCTGACCAATATGATTCATTTTAACCGACGAAAGGGTCCTTCTGCTCGAGGCGGAGAGCATATTCTTTTTCCCTAGGATTATTCACTGGATTTCTAAATCTAACAAAATGTTAATGGTTTGGAATCTCTAAATTTTACACATCCTGAGGCTGAAGGTTACAAGTATTCTTTACACTATCTAGATTGCATTTTTTCCAGCACAAACATCTCTAGCTTACTCTGTAGACCACTTACTTATCTGCTTCTCCTTTGAATCGTTCCCTGGATCTCTTCACAGCGTAAAGTTTACCATCTTCCTTGCATCTCACTTTGTACACCTGTTAAATATTAAAGTTCGAAGTGACTAACTTCATCATTCCGTCTTAAACGGATTGAATAATTAGCCTTCTTTAGGGATTTTATAAAATTCATACTCTTAATCTCCAGCTGTCCATGATATACAGTAAACTCTGGCTAAGTTGGCACTATCGGGACTCACGACGAGCGAGAAATTACGACGAGTTACGCAATGCCGACTTAGTCGGAGTTTCTGTATTGAAAGGCAAAACTACTGACCATTGTATTTTCTTCCTCCAACTTACTTCGCCAAAGGATCCTTCACCAAGTTTCTGCACAATTTCAAAGCACTGCCTGAAAAAGGACTCTGTGCTTTTCTCATTGTAATGAGGACTCTGTAAAATAGCTGATCAGGTCAAGGTCAAGGAATAAAGGTTAAATTGCAAACCAATCAATTCCTGATTATTACACCAGCTCCATGACATATCATGTCATCTTTTTTGTTGATCAGAGCTTCATTGTGTAAACCAAAGGAAAATGAGCCATCTGTCAATTCCTACATTGAACTAAAAAGTGATGGATAACATGGATTTTGAGATTGATAATCAAGATTAAGAAAGCCTTTTTGCCAAATGTTAGGAATCGTAATAACCTTGAATAACCCAAATTTCTCATTTTCAGTCCTTGAAGAAGTGACATCCTCTTCAATTGCCCTAACAATGAATGGATTTGTCATCATAAAATCTCACAAATTAATAAGGCATCAGAATTAGAAGCATATTTTGGAAATTTCAAATCAGGAATAAATCTGTTCATTGACGTTTGCATGAAGGGGTCCAGACAATCCAAAAACAGGTATGATATTTGACTCTGAGAAGTAACTATTGGAAATATGCAGACTCTTAAAGTTTAATGACTACAGAACTGATTGACAGTGGAGGGAATAATAGAAAATGAAAGAACGAAACTTGAAATCCTATTCAAATAGGAATCATCTCACATCTATAAAACAGGCCCTAATTTGATGCAAGCAGTGATTTTGTCTCAGAAAGTAACTTCAGCACAAATGTTCCGAGGTGTCCAGTCTGCAACATGAATAGATACAAAGCCTTCTGTAAATAAAGCCAACTCAAAGGATACAGGGCTCAGATTGCCGGAAGGAAACTGCTCTCGGTCTGGATTCTTCTTCCCTGGTCTTGTTAGGAAAGAGGCGACTAACAGGAGGGACACTCTTCAATGGTGGTCTTGGTGGCCCTGTCTTACGAGGTGTTGGGCCTCGATGCTGAACAGAGAAACAACAGCAGGGGCATGAAGTTCTGGTAACTTTCAAACTAACCACGAAGTTTGTGCCAGTTATTTTAAACACTAAAACTACTTCTATGCTGTCACTCCAGGGGTCATCTTGAAAGTTCTCCAATTTTATCTTGAAATATTTTGCGGTACCTGCTGCTACATTGGGGTAATTCCAGAAATTAAGGCTTCAAAAGTGTGACATTTTTGTGTCCCTGTTGCATCTGACCTTCGTTGTTTGACATGGAAATATCACAGGAATTGATCTCAAACTATTACTTCATGTATTTGTTTGGCAGGTAATTTGAATTAATTCATCACTCTTGGAAATTAGAAAATGTGTTCTGAACTTACAAAATCATATATCAGATGTGACAGGGACACGAAAAAAACGGACCCCTAATTTCTGAAATTACCCACATCTGACTCAGACTGGCCAGCTGACCTCGGTAAGCTCTGTGGTTGAGTGGTTAAGACATCTGCATTAGGAAGCAGGACGTCAGGGGTTCGAGTCCCAAGGGTGTAAGAATGTAAATTTTGGGGGGAAGCTCTTGGAAAAGCACCGATTATACAGTGTTTATCTACAGACTGACATTGGGTAAGGGCAAAAACCTGTAATTAAAATAACATCTTCCCGACACAAAGTACATCTTGAGAGTTATAGTTATTGGAACTTTCAAAATCATATATTAGAAGAGAAATTTATCAAACAACAAAACACGTATGAGCAATTTTAATAGAGACACTATGCATTACATCTATGTACCTTCTTCTGAGAAAATGTTACTTGTTCCTGCAGAAACTTTGGTGTCGGCATTGGACTTCGGAAGCCATTGCCCCTCAAAGAAGAGTTGAAATCTGACTGCATTCTGAGAATGGCCTACCAAAAAAAAAAGCAAAAATTGTTCTGATGGTTTGCATTACTTAGACCAAATCACCTTTCTCCTTTCAGCTCAAGGTGTATGTACCAATTGATACAAGTACATGTATTTATCTTAATATTCCTCAATGGTCTTGTCTATGCTTACAGAGCACTGAGGTCTTTACAAAGCTTACCTAGACCAGACAGTATATCACGAACGGTGACAACTTGGAAGAGTGGAGTGAAAGACACTTCTTAAAGTTTGGCTATTTTGTAATGTTTTTCAGAGGATTTTAACCATGCTTCTACCTGTAGGTTCTTGAACACATGTAGACCATGTCATGTGTGCATTATAATTGGAAGCAAATCTCTGTGATAAGAGTTTGGAGCCAGAAACAAAATCAGAAATGTTTTTCCAACAGAGCTGTCTTTATCATGATAGGTCATGCCAAATAAGTGGGAAAAATAACACCCTTGAGTCATTCCATGTCAATTCACACAAATCCCCAGAACCTCCCCAGTGACACCTCTTCAATTTGCCTGATTTTCTCTGATGCCTTATGATGTTAAATGAAAGAATTCCAAGTTTGAGCCTCCTAGCTCAAACGGTTTTCAAGTTATAGCCCTTCAAAGTTTGGGTGCCACGCCCACTTTTGGGATCCGGGAATCCCACACTAAATTTTGGACCATATTTGGAGGCCCACATCTTTTGTTTTAAGGTAGGTACAGACATGATAGACCTGTAAATTGTTATATCTATGTATTCTGGCCCTGTCTATCAGAATCTGCACTTAAAAATAGCATAAGTGTACTATTTTTAGAAATACTAACCCTTTAAAAGTGGCTTTTTTAATGATGAGGGCTTACCTAAGGCTTACCATGTCCAATACTGCTTCTATTAACATTATATTACTTTCTCAATAAACAAAAGGCACTAAACTTATAAAATCTCAACTTGTTCAACATACTGTGATCATCAATTGCCAAATGTCAGTCTCGAAAACAATGTTTATTTAGCCGACCTACATGTACATGTAGTAATCCCAATACTAACGTTAGGCTCCTGCATTTCATGTGAATGAGCTGAGAAATTCTTCCATGTGACCATCCAAGGTCAGATGGTCAACATAATATAAAACATCAATCTTGAAAGCAAAGCAGCAGGCACATGACCTGTAGATAGCTTGAGCATGGATGTACATGTACAGTGTACATTATGTAAGGCTGCCTACCTCCATTGTTGCTTGAGTAAGTTTAGCCCTAATCTGGCAAACATGGCTAGGGTAGGGTGATGCTGTCCTGCTAGCATGGCTAGTGACTAGGTCTAAACATGATGAATTGTAAATTTAGTAAGTATTTCATGAGGCATACTAGGGCTGTGGTTACCCACTATAGCCGAGGCCCTAGGACCTATACAGCTAGTCATACATGTCATATTCCACTCCAGCACTGTTGGCCCTAACGAACGTTTAGGGCCTAACGTTACCCATGTCCAAGTGTTCACCATGCATGTACATGTACTGTATACCAATATGTAATAAAACATATAGGGCCTACATAAAATTGTAGGCGTAGGGCTAGGCCGCGCAACCGATCCCACCTTTTTTGAGATGCACTGTTGACTTACGTTACAGTTCTTCACTTTTAACTAAGTCGTGGTGTTCAAAACAAGACGTAAACGTTGAGACATCATTCATCAAAGATATCTTTATACAATATTCTTTGAAAGAAAATTACGCTGTGTGGAAATATTGACAATGGTTGACAATCAAGGCACAGTAGAACTGCAAACCACCATAGAGGTAACCACCCACAGACTTCTGACGAAGGCCTCGCTTGTAGTTTGTATTACCGGCGCGAAATTCGAGTAGATAGTAGTCTAGTTGTAGTAAAGTAGCATAAATTTCGCGCGCCATGTCACCGGAAATAGGACGCCCTCAATTTTCATAAAAGAACATTCCGTGCACACCTATGGTGCACACTCATCGAGGATAAAGGGTTAGGATTTTTACTGAAGTCTAAACTATGCAAGGGGGAAAAGGACTAAGAAAAGTCTGGGATCAGGGATTATGGGGGATGCTGACAAGTAATACGAATTGAAGTTTGCCTGGGGTAAAATGAAATTTTACTAAACCTGAAAGGCAATTAATTTTAAAAGAAACTAATACATGGATTTAGTGAAGTTTAAAATAATGGGACAGCACACATGAGTGAGTTTTGTCTGACGTTGGCTGTTGCGCCCACACACATGAGTGAGGTTTGTCTGACGTTGGCTGTTGCGCCCACACACATGAGTGAGTTTTGTCTGACGTTGGCTGTTGCACCCCCCCTTACCCTTCTAATTATTTTCATATTGTTAATTTTAATCTGAATGGTGCCTGTACAATGCTAAAAAGCTATTTACCCTGCTTTCTCTACCTCCAGTCCACAGCAATTTTCATCTGGTACCTGCGCAGCTTTTAAGATTTTCTCAACACAAGAGACTCACTAACTAAACGACCAACTTATTTTTGCACACAAATATTCTTCAGACTGAAAGATCAAATATAATGATAATTACCCGCCAATGACAGATGGTTAAGTCGTACCAGCTTCATTTTTAACCTTATAGTATTTAATCAGTGATGAAGCAGGCATACTTTTTTTTCTTAGTCTATACTTACTAATATCACTCATTTCAGTTGTTAATGCACTTCATCAAAACATTAGCCAAGATACTGTCTTTAGTGGAATCTAAAACAAATAGAAACTGTTCGTTTTCTGGTAAAAAGTGAGACTCTACCAGTGCAATTATTAATGGAACTTTTATTCAGCACTGCTGGACAACTGTGAACTACGCATGCACAAAAACCACGTTCACGGAGGAAGCTTTTGTTAGCAAAGCTCCGATCAACAAATTTTCTCCCGTTTTGGACAACTTTAAGACGATATCAATCTGGTAAAAGTTGCAGTTGTGTGTAGTTAGTGATAGAGGCGAGCAACCGGAGTTTGGGACTCTGATTTGGTGAGCAGAATGTTCAAGATAAAATAAATTCACCAGATAGTGTCCCCTAGATAGCAGGGGTGTGGATTCAGGGGATGGGTGAAAGTTCATTGGAACCTCTGTAATTCTCCAATGTTTCACTATTTAACACAACCACAAACTGAAGTCTTGGATTTGTATTTTGGGCATATGTTAAAATGCCCTATAGCTTGCAGAATTCGATGCCCATCTTTTAAATTATCGTAAATTATGTACCAGAATTATAGGGTCAGGGCCACATCACAAAATGGGGAAAAAGTAAAGAGAGGGCTTGCCGTTATACCAAGTGGATAGAACCCTTTTTGGAAGAGGTAAGGTTTGTATAAGAATCGGTGAGTGTGTACTCGTCGTTTCGACCAGTGTGATGCTCTGGTCGTCCTCAGGAGTGAAAAAAGTAAATCCCATTTTTGCAGGCGTCAGTGTTTTTAAAGTCGAAGAAGAGGGACTGGATACATGAGAATTAAGGGAGAATGAGGACATCGGTCGTCCCTCCCATCCTCCGTTGAGTCTGTCCGTGCTCGACTTTTGGGGAATTTGGCGCATATGTAAAAACACCCCTTATCATTATAAATGTGAAGTTTGAACTGAATTAAACTTATCATTTTGTTATTAACGCCATTAAGCCTGAGGCTACACGCGTACCAGCCCGCGTGTACCAAATACCGCTGTGAAAAAAGGTGTAGCCTACATTTTTGGCTGACCTGTATTTGAAAAATTGTGCGCTGAGCAAGAACGGTATGTTCGATTTTCGCAAAACTGGTGTCACAATGATTGCGTAGAATTACTCTAAAAACTCCCGAAGGCTCAACTCCTGAGAAAAATGCAACAAATGCCGAGAGAGAGAGAGCAGATTCTGTCCCCGACTCTTTTATACATCTTGAAGACTCTTTTAGGGTTTACACAAAGATCAGAAGGTACAAAATGTTCATAGCAAGGCCATGACGATGTATTACGACGAGATTCCATAATATTAGACACTGTAATTTCAGCGCCGCAAGTTAAGGAACACCGTCCTTCCTGTGATACTAACCAATTTCTTCAGAATGCTTTTCTTCTATGAGTCATTATTTTAGGCAGAAGACCTTATACAGAATGATGGATTCATGCAGAGTGTCAAGACGTGGATAGACAAATTATAAGAAGTTTGGAATCCCTAGTGTAGCCGCAGGGTTTGTACTCCTATGTCTGGTGGTTATTCCGTTGGTCTTAAAATTAATAATATCATAATTAGTGAAGACTTCACTCATGCTCAAAGTCGGACCTGAAACGAACCCCAACGCCATGTCTCACACTGGCCCGGCTAAGGTCATACTCGTTTGATAAAATCCTTGAAAAACATACTCCGTTATGAGTGTTGCAGTCGTAAAACATAATCGAGAAAAGACTTGAACTCAGTCCTTGTCAAAGGTGGATTCTACAAGAAGGTGGGCAAGTGCAACACCAACGAGATCCTACAAATCTGCAAAACAACCCGTATTAGTGAGTTCTGCGGAAAACAACACATCATATAGGCCTACATTGCACATGTGGTGCGTATGCCCAACTCGAATGAGCAAAACTGACAGTGGCTCTTTACCAAATCCGAGCACAAGTTTGTAAGAGACCTGTGCAAGTCTCTGGCACGTGATGTAGGAATGGACGAAATGCAGGTTCGGCACATGCTCTTTAAGAAAGGGGAGCTCCACGAGTTGCTCAGAAGCCGCAAATCTCGATGGTCGATAAACGACTGATGAGACAAAATCCTTGATGATGGTGATGGTGGTGGTGGTGGTGGTGATGATGGTGATGATGGTGATGGTGGTGGTGGCGGTGGTGGTGGTGATGGTGATGATGGTGATGGTGGTGATGGTGATGGTGGTGGTGGTGATGGTGGTGATGGTGATGGTGATGATGGTGATGAGGATGATGATGATGATGATAGCCTACTAATTCGGTTGCGTGAGGTTACTTTAGTTCAGTGTTTACGTTTCGCATTGCGTAGGCCTACCAAGATTTCTAGCGGAGCTCTCACGACATTTAGCAGCAGTTGAAGCTTTGCAATAACGAGACGTCCTAGTGACATATTGGCCTATATTGAAACTCTTAGGACTTTCTTCACTATGTCTATGTCATGTTTCCGCCCCCACGTTAAAGCCCATCCACTCGTATACGAACTCAGCACTCTTTGCAAGCGCGAATCAGCACCACCACAGCAAAACCCCTAGGATACGGTGTAAATAAAAAATACGCGGCCAGAGCGCATCCATAGCCCCAGCCGGTAACCCCGGCAAGGTGTCAGCGCTTGACGTCAGCTCCATGTCCATAAGGCGTTTTATTTTATATGATCTGAAACAAAAAGTGCACTATTTTTCTGATAAACACTGACACTCTACCAGTACAATTAATAAATTAAACTATCCTTCACTGTTGCATGATAACTATGCACCACGCATGCATAGAAACCACTAAGGACGCTTTTGCTGGCATATATAGCTTTTTGATAATGGATTGATCAACTAAACTTCTCACTCTTTTGGACTACATCAAATTGGCTAAAAGTTGCAGGTAAGATCAGAGTATCGTAGATTATTTCCATCCGTCACAGCCGGCGAGTTGTCGCTGAAAAAAAGCAAGAATCGGATATAGTGAAACGAAACCATGCCAAGATGTAAGTTTTATTTGAAATTTTATTTGTGTTCAAATCACTATGACTTTCAAAGTGGATTACGCTTGCCACCATTTTTAATACGTCATAAGTAAACTAAAGCTAGCAGTGAACTTTGGTGCTTTTATTTTGGCGCTGTAGGTGAAGGATAGTTCAATTGTAATTGTCCATACTTAATTTTATTTTCGTCATATCTTTTTATCCTTTTAGTATTGTTAACTGGGAGCTACGGGAGAACAGTTTATATCGTGAGATTTATACAGAGAATGTTCAAGATCACTAATTCAATAGATCATGTCCCCTAAAAAGCAAGGGCGTACGCGGGGACGGGCGTTCGTTGAACCCCCGCCCCCTACTTCTTAGTAATCCTCCATAGTTTCACTTATCAAACAACCACAAAACAGAAGTTTTGGACTTGTATTTTGGGCATGTAATAAAATGAGCCAGATTGCAGGATTCTGTCCTTAAGTTTTCCTGGGGAGGGGCGTGCCCTCGGACTCCTCCTTATTCTCGAATCGAATCCTTTCCGGATATCCAAGGCATTGCATATCAAGCCCCATAATAGTGGATGGGGCCCCTGCCTGTGAACTATGTACGTATCCAAAACTATTGGGTCGGAGCAACAAAATGGGAAACGTTGACCCCATTTTTATCTGCCGTCGGTGTTTTTACAGGCGAAGAAGGGAGGTTGGGTTTCTGCAGGAACATATGGGGAATAGTGACATCAATTGTTTCGCTTTTGTTGAGTGTGGCACTCTAGTTTCATCGTACTGTAGGCTTACTTCTTCAAATATGTCCAGTCTAAGATTCGAGTTAATATAAACTTTTAGGTGTTCAGTTTTGCACTTTTGAAATAAGTCTGTTTCCATGGCACTTTAAACATAAAACACACGTTGGAGATGTGTTATGCTAGTATATTCTCCAGGGAGCTGAGATGGTTTCAGGAATGTTCAGATGATGTAAGCCCATTGTCCAGGGATAATGATAATTGCATAGAGACATTCCGTGATACGCGCTATGTAAGAACTGACTATTATTTTTATTATTAGTTACTTTTTAATTTTGTTTCCAGCCAATCCTCAGTTGTTGGTGGATAATGAGGTGATTAGTAACGTTAATGAGCCGGAGAATGTGATCCAGGAGAATTCTTACACTGAGTTTATGAGTCCTGAGACCCATGACCCTAGTGCTCATCAACTGGACGTCGATGATTCTGAGACCAAAGAAGATGCACTCAACAAAGATCTTGCTCCCTCTCCTTCCCACTCTAGCGTCGTTCATCTTGCTATCTCGCTCCCTGGAGATACGTTCAGTGACTTGTCACCAGACGAAATCAGAGGTTTTGTGAGAGCAAGTGTAAATGACGGGCCATTGGGAAAGCCAGACAATCGGGAGGTAAGTCCCTAAATGTGAAAAGTAAGCAAATACGCCTTGGGCAGAAGCATCCCCTCATCGGTTAAACAGAGCCAGGTTGGTTAGGAGTGTTCATTTTGCTGATAGCGACGCAACCGTAAGACATTTATTTCACAATCGTTCGTGAACCAGCGAAGTGCAGTTCCGACCAAAGGAGCTTTTGTTGCAAGGAAAATTGCGTCCTCTCTTGGTCCAGCTCAGGGCTCATAACAGAGCGAACAGACAAATGCCCGAGTTCAAAGAGTTGGGCCTCTCGTATCCCCCCATTTTTACATCACTGATGACAAAGGTTCCGAATACACAGTCAAATCTGATATTGGGCCCATAATGAACTGGCCACGTATACACTCTTTCCAAATACTAATTCGGGATTTCGATTATGTTTTTGCTTTAAAATGATCTTTTAAAACAAGGTCTAAAGATGTACTCATGTTCCCAAGGGCATGCCAATATATTACGACATACGTTTTAGCGCTACAAGTTTTCACGCTGTCCTGCGCGTGATACTAACCAGTTCCTTCAACGTCTTCTTTATATGTGTCATTTTAGGCAGAAGAACTGATACAGAATGATGGATTTATGCAGAGGGTCAAGACGTGGATAAAGACGAAGTATAAGAAGTTTGGAATCCCTGGTTTAATGGCAGGATTGGTAATTCTGGGATGTCTGTTGGTTATTCCGCTAGTCTTAAAATCATTATAATTACGGTACACTTCGCTCCAGTCCAAACTCGGACCAGAACACAAATCCAGCACACGTGTCCCACACTGGCCCTGTTCAAGTCCCACATTAGTCGGTGGAATCATTACAACACACACTCCATAATTCTTTATAGCCAATATGCAACCGTATACCATAACCAGGAGTAGACTTGAATCGAGTCTGAATTAAGTCTGAATTAAGTTTTTTAACAAGGCATGTATGGTGTGCACCGTAGTGCAAATGCGTGCGACTCGCGTTGCTGCCGCGTTTTGAGGGGGATCTGAATGTTTAAAGTAAATAATGCCGACATTGACGTTTGTTTGAGAACACTAGAAGTTTGATGAACGAGCAGATGAATGAGCTGTTTAACAAATATGAATTTATTTGGTTGTCTTGTTTATGCAAACATTAGAAATAACTCGAATGTGTAGCCGTGTTTTGCCGTTTCATGTTCTTATATCGCAAGCCACGTGATCACTCAGTCCAAACATTATTGACCACTTCATTCATTACATCTGCACAATAAATAATTGTGATACTAAAACATTAAAGAAGAGTTTAGTGCTTCGTGTAACTTTAAAATAATGAAAACAGCTAGGAGTTTGTCAGTGGTCTGGGGCCTGGGAATGGAGACACGTTGATGATCTATTCACAAACTGATAATGAAGTTCGTTGAAAAAATTTGAACAATTTTGCGTTGGATACATATGAAAAATACTTGGGACATGTCGTCCTATGGTTTAGGTACATTGCTTGCTATTTTAAGTGCATTTTGTGGATTAGAGAAATAGGCTTTCAAATAATTTTATCCAAAGCTCGGTAAATTTGGGGACCAAATTGAGATGAAATGGATGATTTGGAATAAACCACTCCTCATTCATCTGTACACAGACTGAGTATCTCTAGGCTATTCATTGAACTAAGCAAAGTCTTTATATTCAAGTGACTACCCAGTGACGTCACAATGCATCAAGTCATGCAACCTAAACCCCAAATGCCTACATTGGCATGACAAGGGATGTATGCTCCTCCGTGCCCCCTTCCCCCGGTTTGCCAGCTTGTCACTGTAGGAAAGAAAGAGCTTTGCCCCTTCCTCGCAACGCGTGACGTCACAATATCATGTAAGCCAATGAATTTTGATAACCTTTGGCGGTCACGACACTTAAAAAGTTGAAATGCTGTAAAGGTTTCACACATAGTTTGCTTGTATAATGGTATCTAAAACAATGACACTGTTTGAATGGCACGACCGCAGCTCTGCTACTGTGACTGAGACGTCTGTCACGCTTGAAGTCTGCATCAAATTATAATCAATTCCTGGAAAGTGTATTCGTTATCAAACTCCGCAAGTATCCCTCTTGAGGTGACGATTTAAGGCCAGAAGTCTGCATCATTTCACACATTGGCATGTTTACAAAGGTGCCATTTTATTGTCAAGTTATCTTTTTTAATCAAAATACTGCTAACATAACTATCTGAAAAAATGCTACCATGAAATGAATCAGAAACCGTCATCTAGCAATCATCAGTATTCATCTCAACCTAATGCAAATATTATTGTAATGGTAAATAAAAGAATCTGACCGAATCACCGCAAACAAGATACGTATGTAAGCGTATGTGTCGTCTTGACGGATGGGTAT